TTCATTCCTTTCCCAGATCATTATTTTCAGCCAGGGATTTTCCAGGCTGATTTGTGTTCCTTGCACTKTGCAGGTCATTGCTCAGAGGCTGATGCAGTCCAAACAAACAATACCTCACTACTACCTGTCCATCGATGTAGACATGGGAAAAGTCCTGGTGCTAAGGAAGGAACTCAATCAGGTGAGCTCTGGCATCTTGGCTTGGAAAAAAACACTCATTTCAGTGCTTTTTGTGGGTCAGTTCTGGACTGGCTGTGACAGAATGAGATTTTTCTTAAGTTTGCTGATTCCTGACTTSCCCAAGAGGGCAGCTCTGAGCTCTGCTTGGTGGTGAGCCATCATTTCAGGTGGAAAATAAAAGGAGAAAAAGCTTTTTAATAGTAAGAAAGGCAAAAAAATTAGGCAGAATAATAATTCTAAGCAAGTTTGGGGAAAACTAAAYATTAAAAAAACTACTTAAATTATGAAGAAGATGCATTCACCTCCTAAATTAGCTTTGAATATTAATGCTTGCAAGTGGTGTGATTGTTTTCTAACATTTCCTGTGAACTGCAGTGACTGTCCACATTAATTGGGGTGATGTGCAAGGGACAAACTGACACCTGGAATCTCTGTTTTTGCAGGAGGTCTCGGATAACGTTAAACTTTCTGTCAATGATTTCATAATCAAAGCTTCTGCTTTGGCGTGCTTGAARGTGCCTGAGGCAAATTCTTCATGGATGGACACAGTTATTAGGCAGTAAGTTTATGRTCAGAGCCAGAAACTTCTGGGATTTGAGGGAGGGGAAAAAGTGTAATGTGAAGATGAGGGGCTTTGTTAAAGTGGTAAAATCTCTGAGTCTAAGGCTGGTGTGCAAGGTGAAATAATTGTTGCAAAATTCATGTTAATTTTRGGTTGTCTGGACTGTTTTTTGGAATTTTTGCTGTTTGTTCTCTGGCTGGAGTAAAGCACCTGCTGTGTGTTGCAGGAATCACGTGGTGGATGTGAGTGTGGCTGTCAGCACCCCYGCAGGGCTCATCACCCCCATCGTTTTCAACGCTCACATCAAGGGCCTGGCTGCCATCAGCAAGGACGTGGCTTCCCTGGCAGCCAAGGCCCGGGAAGGGAAGCTGCAGCCTCATGAATTCCAGGTGGGAAACTCAGGTTGCTGTTGAACTCTGCTGCTTTGGACTTGTTCAAGTGAAGCAAAAGTTGTTTTGTGATGTTTGGGCCTTGTTCAGTCATCACAGAATATCCTGAGTTGGGAGGGACTCACAACTCTTGGCCTCARCTCTTGGTTCAACTCAATCTGGGATGAGGTCCCCCCTCTCCTCATATTCCCACATAAAACTGTTCTGAGTTTGCCCATGAATGTGTTTTTTTTTTCTTCTAGGGTGGTACTTTCACAATTTCCAATTTAGGAATGTATGGGATTAAGAATTTCTCTGCTATAATTAATCCACCTCAAGCCTGCATCCTGGCAGTGGGTTCCTCCAAGGAAAGGCTAGTGCCAGCTGATAATGAGAAAGGGTGAGTTTGCATCTGATCCTGAACTCAAACTCTGAAATCGTGACTAGTTTCCTAACACCTACATTAGAAAATAATTTTAAAAACCCTAAAATATATTTTTTACATAGTTCTTTTGGTACCTTAACAACTTGCTTCAATTTGCATTTAAGGAAAACCTAAAGGATGGATTGTAATCCTGTGTACAATATCCCCTTGCTTGGAGCTGAAAGGGTTCTTCTCTTTGTGCTGCAAGGAAAGCTGAGCTCGCTGCCCTAAGGGGAGCACACAGAGGTGTTTTTAGTGCCTGAGTGAAATTACTCCCTGAATTTCCCTCGGAGAGAAATGATCACATTCTGCTCTCCGGTGTCATTGGGAGAAACATCTGTCAGCAAGCACCAGCTGCTATTCCTGCTCTCCAGGAGCAGCTTTTCTGCTGTGTGAGTGGCACTGCCTTGCAGAGGAGTCTGTTAACCTTTCCTTTTGTTGTTTTTCTCCCAGCTTTGACGTGGCCAGYGTGATGTCTGTCACCCTGAGCTGTGACCACCGTGTTGTGGATGGAGCAGTTGGAGCACAGTGGCTTGCTGAGTTCAAGAATTTCCTTGAAAAGCCAGTAACCATGCTGCTATAATTTAACCATGCAAAACAGAATTTTCCTGGGTCACACTGTTGTGTTTTAAACAAGCTATTTAGACTTTAGTGTTCAGACTTTGAGAGAGTTCCTTTTTTTATTTAAAATATGTATTATATTATCTGGTAATTTTACCAGTCTGTACAGAAAAAAAAAAGTTTGCAAAAGTGCTTTTCAGAGCAATATTATAGCTACACTGTATTTTTATACAGTGAGTTAACTTGCAAACTCTTCCAAAACAGAGTTAAGCATCCCAGATTTAAAAAAAATAAAAAAATTGTCCTGGCATTGTGCCAGCTGCTTCTAAACTCGGGTGCCCAGGGGGTGCAAACCAACAATTTCAYGACCTCAGTGTTGTCAGAGATTGGAATTTGAAACATCTCTTCACAGGAGTGCAGATGAGRTGGTCACAGAAAGGTACAATGTGAGGGGAATTGCCATATTATCCTGTTCCTGGGGTGGGGGAGATGGCACATGCACTGAGGGACTGAAGTGCCTGGGGATAGTGTCTCAAAGGCCAWGTGCTGCTGTTCCAAAGCTTTTGTGGAATTTGGCACTGGCTGGGACCTTCTCAGCTACGTGATCCCTTCTGAGCACTTGAAGGTGAAAGAGCACTGCTGTCTGTGGGGTCACAGCTCTCGGATACCACACGGAATGTGCTGTTCTCATGGACTTTCACTGACATCTGCTTTTTGTATGAAAACTCTTTAGTTGCTGTTCCTCTGGCTAYGTTAACCCCAGACTGATGCCGTGGAAGTAGCTGTTGTGCAGAATGTTCAATGTGTGTTTTAAACCAATGCAGACAAATCACACACGCTGAGAATCCCACCAGGGRACGTTAATCATGTGAGGACTCGGATGTTTGGAATTTTTCATTTCAGGCATTCTGACACAGGAAGCTCTGACTTAAGCCACTGGAATTGCAGACCTTCCCTGGWTTGTCTATGTTGTCCAGCCTCAGTAAAGCTGCAGAATGTGCTCTCCATGTACATATTGTATGTAAGGTGCTTCTCTAGTTTATTGGACTCGTGTCCAGTTACCCCAGGCATTGTATCCTGCAAAGGGTGCAGTGCTGAACATTCTGAAATTCCACTTTGCACATGGAAATATTCGTGTAAAAAAAAGGACAACTGTGCAGTAATGACAGAGTGACCAGGAGAATTAAACAGGGGGGCAGAGTTGGAAAAAAAGGAAGTTTAAGCTGATCCTGTTATTCTGTATATTGCATAAAGTACTGTCTCCTGTAAAGTGCTACAGAATTCACTAAAGATATTGAAAGAAAATACTGTGGAAATTAAATATTTTTGTGGGAACTATTTAGTGTCTGGTTGCTGTGATACCTGGTTTTCATGCCTTGCTTAAGCAGAAAAAAAAAAGTGCATTAAGGTTCTGGATTTTTTTTTTAATGACTTGAAATACCCTGATTCCAGACTGGCTCTAGTGAACCCATGTTCCATTAAATGTTTGGAATTGACAACTACTAAACCATGTCCCAGTGCTTTTCTCTTCAGTCGTGTGTGGCTTTACTGCTCTGGGTCAGTGCTCTGCAGCCCTTCAGTCTCACTAAAACTCAGCTCATTAACCTGAAATTTAATCACAAATCTTMCCAAACATTTGCTTTTTGCTGTCTGCACCTTCCTCTCTGCAATGTTCAAGCTTGTGGGACTGTGTGTGACACACCTGGGCAGGTTGTTCCAGCATTAAATACTTGGGAGAGCTGCTCTATATATATTATGGGAATTTATATTATATATAAGTTTATATTAGATATAAATGGGAATCCATTTATTTAACAAAAACACATCCCCACTGTTATTGCTGTCCCTTGAATGGTGCAGTAAAGTTTGGAGACATTGGTGGTTCTTTACTGCAGCTCTTATATGCAGGGAACAAATACAGTAACTAAATATTTACATACTCATTCAATATTTACAATCTTTTTTTTTTTTTTTCTGAAGTTTGGTGGTGCTATTCTTGCTCCAACCTTCCTTTCGTAGTTAAATCTTCTAAAGGCATATGAGGTATTCATCCCTGAAGATTAAAAAGTGAATTCAAAACACCCCAGAGTTACGACCATCAAAGATTCTCACTCTGGGCTTTTGTTGTWCAATCTGTGCCCAGGAACGGGGCAGGATGCAGGAGAAGGATCTGGTGCTGTGATAAACAGTGCCCCTTTGGCTTTCTTCAATAGAGCTGTGGTTGCTCCTTCA